AAACAATCCCAGTTCCCTCAGCCTCTCCTCATAAGTCATGTGCTCCAGACCCCTAATAATTTTTGTTGCCCTCCGCTGGACTCTTTCCAATTTTTCCACATCCTTCTTGTAGTGTGGGGCCCAAAACTGGACACAGTACTCCAGATGAGGCCTCACCAATGTGATGATGATCCTCTGGGAGAAAAACCTTTTTATCAATGTAAGGAGGTGGTGGTGATGATCAACGAATTAGCTAATTTATTGTTATGGTCCCATCTGCTGTTCAGTCTGGTTACACTCTGAGCAGAACTTCACAGTGGTGTAGAATAAGGTCTGCTGACCCAGTGAGCTCAGGTGAATTCTTGAGCAGAATGGTTTGCATTGGTTAGGGCCTAAGTTGGAAGTGGTCTGTGAAACTGGATTACTCCCTTGCCTCTTGGTATAAGGATGGCTCAGATTAGCTCTTTCCTTGCAGATGAATCATTCAGAATGAGGATTCCCTCTGGAATCCAGGCTCCTGGCTGCAAACACCTCGCTCTGTTGTTGCCCTGAGTGTTTTTGGATCTCTTGGGCATTTGTTTGTTTTGTGTGTCTCTGTGAAAACTGCTCCACGTCCCTGCAGTAGCCTAGGGGTTGGCTTCTTCTCCGTAGGTCGGCGACGTCTTCAGCAAGCAAAGGGCCCTGAAAGAGCTGCAGCTTATCGCCTCGGACCCCGATGAAGATTACTTGTTCAAGCTGCCTGACTATGAAGCCTTGGATGGGTTCCTGTCGGTGCTGGAGAGAAATATTTTGGGTACCTCAGGTAAAAGGCAGCAGTGTCCTGCCACTAACAAAAGCTCCCGTTCTCTGTAGCCTGCACAATGAGGAGTGCTGTGGTTTTGTAAATAAATGTAAATAAAGCTCCAACCCTCAGACCGTTAAAGGCCTTGTTCGTTATCTGCCAAAGCATCAGAAAAACAAAACAAATATCAAATCAGCTGAAATTCCCTGGGTAATAATTCCCCAGAGGCTTCCCTTGCTTGAGCCAGCCTGGAGGGAGAAGACAGACCCTTTCCCATTTGATCCATCTTCCCCTTGCTTTTATACTTTGCCCCAAGTGACCTGCAACTACAACTCCCAGTTTTAAGGGGCTTGAGGGATGTAGCAGGTTCTCTGAGATGCACACGTGCACCCAAGTTCCAGTGCTCTGTGACGAGGTGCCTCTGCTGTCAGTCACGGGCTGGGCAGATTGCTTCCATTGAATGCTGTTCTGCTCCGAGTTCTTGTCACGTACACCTTGTACGCAGTAGGTTGCAGGGTTACTACCGACCCTCCTTCTCAGAGACGTGTCTTCCATAAGATCCTTTAATGTGCTGCCGGGAACGTCTGCTGTGAGCGTAAGGTAAGTTACACCTGGTGCCATGTAGCGGCTGAACAGCTCAGAATTCCATTTCCGTCCTATGGTGAAATCCTCCTCCCACTGAAGTTAATGGTAAAACGTGCATTGATTTCAATGAGGCCAGGGTTTCGCACCTAGGATATCTCTACACTGCAGTTGGGAGGGGCATCCAAGCTAGCTCGGTAAAAGTACCGGTATAGGTGCGACAGCACAGGGTGACTGCCCAAGTACAGTCCCGTCCAGGTCCCTGGGTATATCCTTTGGCAGCTCGCCCATGCTGCTGTGCCTTCAGCGCTCTATTTAGCGAGCTAGCTCAAACAAAGCTATCTTGGGGACGCCTATCCATGCTGCAGTCGCACTTCCCAATTGCAGTGTAGCTACTATACCCTTCTCTTAAGCCCGTGCTTTAGTCTGACCCGTTATGGGCTGAAAGGATGCTGAACGTGTGAAGCTCTGGAACTGGTTCATCATGGAGTCCTGGCCCAGGGCGCTGCTGCAAAACATATTTTCACTTTTTATTTCTTTTCTCCCCCTCCCCCTTCGTTTCTTGTTTCTAGCGGCATATCTTCCAGAGGCAGGATCTGGCTATGAAAACCATAACAGCAACAATAACAACATCCTGGAGGATGATGACGATGACTCATGTAAGCGATGAAATACCTTGTCAAGGGATTGTGCTGTTGGATATCAATGACTAGCGTTGACTAGCATCAATGTGTTGCTGAGGACAGCTGCACTCTGGATGCTGACATTGCAATTGCAACTTTGCAGTTTCACGCCCATTAGCTGGCTATTGAGACTCATTTCTCGCAATGCTGGAATAACGATGGTCCTAGTCAAGACCTCTGAGCTCCTGACCGCCTCCTTCTAAATCATGCTTTTCGTGTCCCAGCAGACTCAGGGACAGAGATCGCCATTGTTCTGGATGGATCAGGGAGCATCGATTCTGAGGATTTTAAAAGAGCCAAGGCTTTCATCTACAACATGATGAAAGCGTTCTATGAGAAGTGCTTTGAGGTACTCTCTTCTTCACTTATTGGTCTGCAAATACGGCAGCCACTGCACTTTATTAGCATTGCCCCTTTGGCCCGAGTGACTAGCTAAAGTTCGGGGCATTGCAGGGTTGTTTCTGTTAGGATAAGAAATCAGTGATACAATTTAGGTGTGTTCTTGGTGTGATCAACCTTATTTACACAAAATGCACACACAGTCTTGCTTCCCTGAACACAGTAGGAACAAACAGCAGTAGGCCGTTTCCTGACTCAGAAGTCCCCAAGTCCTCAGCGAACTTTGTGCCCAAGAATCTCTGTCCCTCTGCTTCCTCACAGGATCAGGCTCACAACTGCTTCTCCTGGCTTCCTGCTTACAATACCCACGTCCTGCAACCGATATCCTAGCCCCTGTCTTTGTACCCAGGGAAACCTCTGGCTTGCCATGCAGCCTGTTGCTTTGGGCAGCCACCCCCTATTGTCTCCAGCTGTTTTATTGTACAAAAAGGACTTAATTGCTCTTTCTGTTGAGCCTGAAAGAGAGCTTGGCACAGCCATTGGTTCTAACACAATCTGTGAATGTCTTTGGATCCAAGAGTCCCCTGCTGGCAGCCATTAGCCCCTTTCTGCATAACACCATTTGCATTTATTATTTGTGTTGTGGTAACTCCTTGAGGCAAAGGCCCCCTTGTGCTCGGTGCTGTACAAACATAGCCCTGAAGAGCTTTACCTTGTGCGGTGATCTCATCAGTGGCAGGCCAGGTCAGTCCTTTGAGGGGAGAGCTCCAAAGGAAAGTCACAGTGCAGCAAGGAGTGGTGCTGGTGTTTCAGGATGGTCCCAGATAATTCCCTCTGCAGCCTGGAATGTATGGCAAAAAAGCAAGATGAAAACAAAAACTAAAAAAACCCAAACCCTCCAGGATCTAAAGCTCTCCTCTCTCTGATCACTAAATACAGAACAAAATATGAATCTGATGGTGGCTCTAATTTTTCTGAACTAACATAACTTTTCTTTTCTTCTCTGTGTTCATCTCTTTAGTATATAGGTGCAATTTCTGCCGGAAAAGATTTTACTTTCTGGCCATCCTTTATAGATTCATAATAGACTGTAAGGTCAGATAAACCATTTTGACCAGCTGGTCTGATCTCCTGTAGAACATAGGGCATAGGACGTATCTGAATTAATTCCTGTTTGAACTAGAGCAGAGTTTTTAGAATAACATCCCATCTTGATTTAAAAATTGCCAGTGATGGAGAATCTACCACAATCCTTGGTAATTTTTTCCACTGTTAAAATTGTGCCTTATCTCCAGTCTGAATTTGTCTTTTCCCATTAATGCCATTCTCTTCATTGGGAATTTCTTTACTGGTTGTTTCTGAGAGCCCCAGTTCTCTGGATCAGCTATCAATATTGGACTCTTATCTGACGCTTCTTTCCAGTGTGATTTTGCCCTGGTGCAGTATGGATTTGAAATCAGAACTGAGTTTAACCTGCGGGACAGTTGGAACGCTAACGCTACCCTCCAGAAGGTTCAGAACATCACCCAGTTGCGCAGCGTGACCAAAACAGCATCTGCCATCCAACACGTGCTGTAAGTAACAACATAAGAAATGTATCAGAGGGGTAGCCGTGTTAGTCTGAATCTGTAAAAAGCAACAGAGGGTCCTGTGGCACCTTTGAGACTAACAGAAGTATTGGGAGCATAAGCTTTCGTGGGTAAGAACCTCACTTCTTCAGATGCAAGATGATCTACAATCCATCCTGGACAATGATCCCTCACTTTCACAGACCTTGGGAGCCAGGCCAGTCCTCGCCCACAGACAACCTGCCAACCTTAAGCATATTCTCACCAGCAACCACGCACCGCACCATAACAACTCTAACACTTGCATCTGAAGAAGTGAGGTTCTTACCCACGAAAGCTTATGCTCCCAATACTTCTGTTAGTCACATAAGCAATGGTGATCCTGTATTGCTGGAGCACTTTCTGAATAGATGCATGAACATTTGGGGCCCAGATCTGGTCACATCTCCTTAACTGGCCAGAAGGGTCCTTGTTGAGCAGCGTGAGGCACTCCTTCCTCGCCAGAACACTGAACATACGATACATGTTATAGCACTTTCTGACTCTACCAGTGATGATGGGGCTGCCTCAGTGACTCTGGTTATCCAAAGGCTGCAGATACTTGGGGGACTGGGAAGCCAGAGGAGTCAGACCAATAGACTAGGAGATTTGTCTTCCCTCAGCCTATGCTGCTGGCTTGCTCTTCCTATTTTAGAGAATGTCATCTGGCCTGCTAAAGGCCAGTAGACAATGTGAGAGCCTAATCCCTGGCCTTGGGGCACCAGGAAGGCAATGAAAAGAAAACCTGGAAAGCATCTGGAGATGCACAATACAAACCTGAAGAATGGAACCAGGATTTGAGCTAATCAGGGTACAGTTAATCAAGCTGGTATATGTTCTCAGTGGAAAGCCCTGAGAATGGTACATGGAGCTTTTAACCTCTAGGCTGAAGGACCAAATCCAGCCCAGGTTGGTGGTGACTGTGAAAGCCTTTACCATGTGTGAAAGCAGTGGTGGCTGCTAAGAGGCTTTTGTGAACTGAGATATTGGTCTCTGTCCAGTCCCTACTGGGATACACGTCCCCATCCCAAGAGCCACCACCCCAGCTGGAATAAACTGACTCCCTTCTCGCAGCTTCAACACAGAGGGCAAGAACTGAGTAAACATGGGGAGTGCCATCTCCTCCGTCAATCATATTAGCATGTATGGTATGGGGAGGAAGGAGGCGGGGCAAAGGGGGCGATGCAGTTTCCAATACCACTACCTTCACTGGAATGGGTGGAATAGGGATCTGAGAGTCTGGACTAACCAGAGATACTTTCTGTCTCCAGAGCTGTTGACTTGGCAATTATCCTCAGGACTAAATTCACTATGGAGGAGGGGAGGGGAAAATCTGGTCATTGTTGAGTTATGTGAATGTGAAAGGAAAAGTCCTGAGGAATTAAGTCCCTTCTCTGCGCCTTGGTACAATTATTAGCCATAAATTCATAGGAATTCAACAGATCTGTTGGTTCATCCCTCTGCTCCCAGAAACTCATCCTGTGTATGACAATTTTAACAGGGATTCTATCTTCATTGAGAGCCAGGGGTCCCAGAAAAATGCTGCTAAAATCATGGTTGTGCTGACAGATGGGGAAATATTCCAGGATCCAATGAATTTAACAACGGTGATAAATTCACCCAAAATGGCAAGAATTGACCGTTATGCCATTGGGGTAAGTTGGGAATATCCAAAGACTCTTGTTCTAATCTGTCTCCCTGAACATAGCTGATATCCCTCATTAGAGAACAACAAGGGGGAGAGAAAGGAAAAAACTGGCCCACATGGCAACTTGGTAAGTGATGGAAATGAGGAGCATGTATAAAAATGAATAAATGGAAAGTAAAACTACCTCATTGAGTTAATAATATGATCAATAGGTAAATAAAATCCAACCCAACTCCATGGAGTACTGCAGTTTCAAGTCTCTTGTAGACTTTCTCTCCCAGCACTCACACCACTCTTTTCTCAGATGCCTTCACTCGTTCCGCTCTCTTTCCATGGCACAGCTAAGTTTCTCTACCTCACCATTAAGGCCTACGCAACTTCCATCCTCACTTGTACCCCACCCTCGTTGACTCCTACACCTCTGCTGTGCTCTGCTGTCTGCTCTGTCCAGTCATATTTGGTGCTTCCACTTCCTGCCCACCTGCTCTCACATGCGACCATTTTGGTTTGCTTGCCCTGTGTCAGGCATCTTCCATCTCAACATTTAAATCTCTCCTCCAGGGGCCCACTGCACTGTGTTCATATTGCAAAGTTTAATGTAAACTATAAAGCCAGTGGGATCCGTTCAGTATATATTTTAAAAAACACACTAAGGTAAGACAAGGAGGGAGGGATAGCTCAGTGGTTTGAGCACTGGCCTGCTAAACCCAGGGTGGGTTGTGAGTTCAATCCTTGAGGAGGCCATTTAGGAATCTGGAGCAAAAATCTGTCAGTGGATTGGTCCTGCTTTGAGCAGGGGGGTGGACTAGATGACCTCCTGAGGTCCCTTCCAACCCTGATATTCTATGGTTCTAAGTCCAGACGCTGTCTTCAGTCATGGCATTGAAAGATGGGAATGGTACATCATGATTCCACAGGATGTTGGAAGGCCATAAGTCACAATGAATAGATAAAAGTTTTTAAAATCTTGCCTGAAAATCTATGGTTTTCACAGCTGAGTGGGGGGAATTTAGCCACACAACTCGCATGGAAAGAAACAAATGGAAATATTAATTCTTTCTTAGTTCATCACAATCAGCTTTACCAGTCAGTGCTGCTGCTTGGTCCTTAGAGAGGTGGGGACAGCTTTGAGGCATTTTGCATCTTCACTATCTACAAAACTATATCTTATTCAAGCAAAATGTGACTTTAAACTTGGCAGAATATTTCCCCTTCAGTACCAAGCTTAATAAAAAGAGGCTTTCATGGAAATGAACTGTTTTTTAAATTTTGAATTGACTGTATTTTCATCTTCAAAGGAACAAAATGTAGCAATTGGAGCTCAACTTTGTTCAATATTCTTATTATCCATAGCAGCTCCCCGGGGACTGGTAACTGGGCCACTGGCATCAGTTATCTGAAACAAAAGCACCTTGGTTCTAGCTGGTAATTTCTCTCTGGAGAAAGACAGGTTCAAAAGGCATTATATATAGGTGAAGGAAGTTTTATTCTGTACATGGGTTTCAGGAGCAGAAAGTTTGGAGTTTGCGTGACAGGGAGGAGATAGAAGGTTTATTATGAAATTTTTACAAGACCGAGACACCAGAAATCAGGACACATTAATTCCGTTAGCAAGACTAAACTAATGGACAGTCTGGTTTCTAAACCAATTCAGACTTGTAATTCTTTAGCAGAGAGTTATATGGAGACGCTTTAGCTTTTAAATTTGCCCCTTCTCTGCAGCTAGAATCTAGTTTTCAGCAGATATGACATTAGCCTGTTATGTGGAATTGTTTCCTAAAGGCCTGATCCTAGGAGGCACTGAGAACATCCAACTTATTGATGTCAGTCGAAATTGCAGCTGCTGTGAGCCCTCAGGAAGCTCACAGGACTGAGCCCCAGTGCAGATTGCTGGGGTTTTATAACCCCCAAACAGATACAGTTAGGTAAAGTCACCATTTTTCGATCCAAGTGCTGCTCTTCTTCATTGATCTTGGTCTCTGTCACAGGTGGGAGAAGCATTTAACAAGTCCAAGGCCCTAAATGAGTTGAAGCTGATTGCCACTGATCCAGATGAAAGTCATTTATTCCGAGTGACCAACTATTCAGCTTTAGATGGGCTCCTTTCAACCCTGCAGCAGAAAATCATTGCGATAGAAGGTGAGGGCAAACCTCTGTACCTTGTCATCCTGTCTGAGTAATAATGAGAAAATGACTCACTAGGTCCTCTTCTGATTCTCAGGCACGGCAGGCGATATTACAGAATATGAGCTGGCGCAAACTGGTTTCAGCGCACAGATCTTGGACAAGGCAAGTGCCTGCTGCAATCTCACTCTGGTAGATGAGCGCGTGGTGCTGTTTATTTTGTGTTTGGGAGGCTTGAAAGAGTTGATTCTCTGTATTTCCTACGTAATGACACACGCTACAGTTTGAGAACCAAAAGAGTCAAATCCCCATTGCGCACCGGAGCCTGTTTCACTGGTACCCCTTGATTACATAAAGATTTCACTTGTATGTGCTCGCTAGCTGGTATATCTGATTTCAGTGTCTAATGCACATAGCAGCTCCTACGTGATAGTAACTGCTGTATCGTTACCAAAATTAACTCATTTTAATGCAGACACCTCGGAGTCAGGGGGGATCTAGATTCTGTTTCCCACACTGCTGGTTTTTATCTGATCATAGGGTAGATTGCCTCACCTCTGTGTGCCTCAGATTTCCCCTCTCTGGAATGGGGATAGAAGTGCCAGTCTAGCTCCTGGGGGAGCGGTGGGGCTGAAAACACTGATCTTTGCTAAAGTGCTTTGAGATCCTTGGGCACAAGGTGCGAGAGAGAAGCAAACGAGTATCATTCATTCCTCTCTTCTATCTTTCCCTATGTGAACTCTGCAGCAGCACATACTGGTTGGAGCTGTGGGGGCCTATGACTGGTCCGGTGGAGTTTTGCTGTACGATTGGGTAACCAAGACGGCCACTTTCCTGAACGAATCTAAAGAAGCAAAAGAAGCAAAATACGGCTACCTAGGTAAATAGCACCCCCCGCCACCCCAGGGACAATCTGATTAGGTGGTGGATCCAATCCTGCTCCCAGTATAGTTAATGGGAGGAGGTTCAGGCCAAATATACCAATGTGTGGATGGTGTTTAGTGGACAATGTGCCAGCGTTGAAAGCATTAAGAACAGCAAATCTCACAGGAACTGGCTGGATCTTTATTTCCTGCAGCTGGGAAAGGGACTCCGGGGGAAGCACTTTCCCTCTTACCCAGCAGCATAGTGGTCATTATCACTGATACATCATTATACACCATGGCATCGTTTGCATCTTGTTAATATGCATATGTTTACTGTATAACGACTCTCAGAATGATTGGAATTTTTTTGGAGCCTATGGGTAAATATTTCATGTGCAGCAGATACTGGAGAGCAAACAGCTTCTGAATCATTACAAATCTTGGCCTGGAATGATGTAAAATTTTTGCTTATTAACACAAGTTCTTTATAGCATCGTGAGTCCTGTACCTCCTGATATTTGATTTAGCTTCAAAAATCTCTCCATTTAGTTTTAGGTGCCCTGGACTGTGTCTCTTATATACCCGCATAATAATGCTTGTCCTATCTTCTCCCTGTCACATAAACCCCATGAACTTTCTTTTTCTGCATCCCACAGGGAATATTGCTTCCTTCACCTTCATGATGGCTTTTTAACCTGTCATCCTCCAGAGGCAATTAAAGCCAGGACCAACATGTGTATATTTCAGATAACCATTCAGGATCTGTGATTAAATGCTAGGGATGTGTTCAAAATTTTGTTGAGTGTTGCTACTGCAGAGCCATTTACACGCTGGTGCGACAGTTGTTGTTGCCCGTTGGGGCACTGTGGCTTCAAATTCAATCAAGAGACCAGGCATCACAAGCTGTTAAAAGGGATGACTTACGAGCTTTGTTGGCTTTTTCTCTCAGACAAGTTACCATCTCCTGTTATTTCCTACTCAGTCTTTTAAGTGAGATGGTATCAGACCAAAACCGTGGACCCCACCACAGCCTCAAACTTTGTGGATTTTTGGTTCCTGCTCCAGATCTAGATGTGAATTTCATTACCTGTGATGGGCCAAGCTAAAACCCCAGATCCAAAGTGTGTGTCATTGGATTTTTGGCTCAGCGATAAAGCATTGTATTGATCATGTGTCATTTCTGCTCATTGTCTCAATGCACAGGGTACAGCGTGGCTGTGGTGAATGCACAAGACGGTGCCTGGTATGTTGCTGGAGCTCCGAAGCACAGCATGACAGGGAAAGTGCTGGTGTTTAAGAAAGATGGCTCAAAGCAAATCCTACAAGGAGATCAGGTACCCATGCTTTGCTCAGTCTTTGCCAATCAAGTGGGTTGACAAAGCACTAAGTACGGTGGAAATAGATGGACTCCACATGTCTTTATTGCAATGCAGCCATTACAGACCATTTTTCAGCATGTGCTTCCTCTAATCAGAACTTCCCCTGCATTCTTCTAGAGGCAGATCATCCATAAAGTTTTGGGGATGTTAGAAAAATTCAGACAACTGGTGTTGTAGATAGCTGAGGGAAACAACTGGGGAAAGGATGTGAGCCCTGTTTGGATAAGAGGGAGGTTTGAAAGAAGTTCAGATAAATGGGGTTAGACTATCATTGCATTCTGATACCTGACCCCTCAAAAAAAAAAAAACTCCAGTCACTCCGACTGGAAAAGGTATCCTCCACTGCCCGTTGTGAAATTGTTAGATAGTGATACTGGTGCTGTTACTCCGGTTACTGGGGCCCTCCTCAAAGATGCCTGCATTGTGATAATAGGAGTCATGAAATGATCCCTATATAGACAGAGGGACAGATGACTATGCAGAAATCTGTAGTTCTGTAAAGCACCCTGACAGGTGCAAAGGGCACCAGAGAAGGCTATTATTATGAAGTTATTGTTCGTTGAGAATTCCAGTGTAAAACCTGACTCTCTATCTGGGGCGCAGGTTGGGTCTTATTTTGGCTCTGAACTCTGCTCTGTGGATGTGAACCAGGATGGGGAGACAGACTACCTTCTTGTGGGAGCCCCGCTTTATCACATCTATGGGGAAGAAGGAAGAGTTTATGTGTATCGGCTTCAGGTAAAGACACTGACTTCAGCAGTTCTGACTTGGTGGGAGCTTTCCCACCAGTTCCTTGAAATACTTCTGTTACCACATGCTAGTGGTGACAAATAAAACCCTTATCCTTGGTGCTTTCCCTGTATAGTCTCTCAATTATATCCATTTGGTGCCCATGCATAACTCGTGGACTGTCTTGTTGTATCAGAAGACCACAGAATGATCAGTCCTGTCTCATTTACTGGACTGTGAAAGAGAAACTCTGGAATAGAAATGGCGATATCTTTGTGACCTGGTGTAGATTTATTACACAGCATGATGAGAAATAGAAGTTTGTGAAATTGTTTCCATCTCCCATCCCACCTATTGTTATGGACCCTGTCCCATAGAATGAAGCATCTTTCTATTTTGATTATTTTGTAGCCATTTTTTTCCATCCCCCATAACCACTCTGTGAAACAGCATTCCTTATAATGATTGTTTTAAATTAATATACATGTCAACTGCTGTTGGAATGGCTTCCAGGGGAGTTCCCCAAAAGTAGATCAGTGGGCATGCCCACCTGCTCAGTTTGTGTACAAGATGCACAGCATACAGTTCAGGAAGATGGTTCATGCTACATCTCTGCTTTGAAATCCAGTGTTATAAAAGATGCTGTACCTACTGAGCTATTAAAGAGAAACTAAACTGAAACCAAACTTTGAGTGAATGCAAAACTCTTGTTTAAAAAGAAAAATTGTTGAAACTGGCAAATCAGTAATAGAACACGGGATTGATTAGCCTAGACTAATACATATACTTTTTAAAACAAAATATTCGACAATCACTTCCTCCTTTGTTTTCTCACTGAGCCCTGGTGTTCTGTGTATACCTTGCAAGTGCTGATGACATTGCTGACACTACTTAAGCCTTGTCTACACTAGGAAGGTGACCTATTGCTGCTGATAGCTTTAGCTGAACCAGAACTGAACACAGTTTAACTGAAAATGTAGACCCAGACAAACCATGTTCAGCACCGCGTCAGAAGCAGCTAATGAAACTTGCGTCGGGTACTTCTAGAGTGGCTGAAAGCAGCTGGTGGCCTCACAGCACGTTCAAGACATCTGTCAAAAGCCAAGTAATGCACCCCCCACACACATTGAGGCTTATTCTATGAAGCAGTCTGGGGAATGTGACGTTCTCAGCTACTGTAGAGCAGACTGCAGACTTGGGGAATTGGCTATTGCTTTTACTTGGAAGGCACTCAGATACTATGGAGATGAGGCAGTATAAAATCCTACGGTGGATATGTAGTGTTTGGATGTTGGTGAGGAGTGTAGGAGCAGCTGATTTCCAATGTTTTGGTTATTTTTATTTGTAAGAGTGCAGATGTACCCCGGCTCCTGCTCTCATTGACTCCAATAGCAGACCTTCAGAGGAATTCTTTAATTTATTGTTTAAAGCTTTGTTGTTCACCTTCGATCCTTACCATTCAAAAAACAACAACCTGCTTTCAGGAGCAGCAGGAATAACCTCTTGGCTGTTTTTCAGAATGGTTACTTCTCCTGGGTAGGACACTTAAGTGTCCAGACACCATCTCCTTTTGCAAGGTTTGGGTTTACTGTGGCCAGCATTGGGGACATCAGTAGGGATGGATATGCGGACATTGCAGTTGGAGCCCCCCTTGAGGATCGACTTTCGGATTCTTCTACCTTTGGCAGCATTTACATCTATAATGGTGATAAGAATGGGATCAGGAGCACCTTTTCTCAGGTAGGGAGGAGTCCTGTGTGAATTGTATGTGCAATGAGGGTTAAATGTGAGGTAGGGGGAAGAGCATGTTCTTGTGGTAGAGGGTTCAGAGTCAGGACTCCTGCATTCTATTTTAATTTCTGACACTCTGTGCAGCTATGAGCAAGTCACCTGGCCGCCCCGTGCCTCGATTTACCCATCTCGAAAATGGGCATGTTAATAATTCCTGCATCACAGGGGTGTTTTGGCAATCTAACCCATGCTTTTATCCAGCCTGGTTTTCCACTTCTTGCACGAGCAGTTCCTTTTACTCTGGAAAATCACCTTATTACCAATTAAACAGTGAATCAGCCTTGAAAAAAGAAGTGGCTTGCTTGATAAAAGCACTGGGGCTTTTTCTTTTAATCTGAAACCAGCTTGAATTTGCTAATTTTCATGAGCCACCAGACGCAACTCATTCTCAGGTTTGCAGTTCCCTCTTACCAGAAATGCTGCAGATACCACAGTATATCACTGGTACTCAAAAATCTCTTTGTATGTGGATCAAAAGATGCTCCACTGATGGTGAGTGCAGATTGGAGGCATGGGTGAGAAACGTGAAGTTGTGTGCCAGGTGACTTGTGTGAAAGAGACTCTGTAGGCTTGACTCAGCAGAGCTGCTTCTTAAGCTCAACTGGCTGGCAAAGCCCTGCATCTTGGCAGGGGGTTAGACTAGATTTCCTTTGCGGTCCCTTCTAACCCTATGGATCTATGATTCTAAAGTGCTCACTTGAGGATGTGGCTTCCACACCTACCGACTAAACACCCTCCATTAGCAAGTCTGCCTGTCCGTTGCAGGAAGTGCATCTGAAGAAGTGTTTTTTTTACCCACGAAAACTTATGCCCAAATAAATCTGTTAGTTTTTAAGGTGCCACCGGACTCGTTGTTGCAGAAAGTGGGAATGAGCGACGGGGGCTGGATCACTTGATGATTACCTGTTCTGTTCATTCCCTCTGGGGCACCTGGCACTGGCCACTGTCGGCAGACAGGATACTGGGCTAGATGGACCCATGGTCAGACCCAGTAGGGCCATTCTTAAGTGGTTAGTTCCCTATCCTGGATATGTCAAAAATATCACAGGGTGTCACTCAGAGCAGTCCCATGTTAACTGGAGAAATATCCCATCTTAAATGTGTTGATCTTTTCCTCCCACAGAGGATAAGAGCAGCTGAAGTTGCTCCAGGCCTCCAATATTTTGGACAGTCCATTGATGGTGGTTTTGACTTCACTGATGATGGTCTCATAGATATCACAGTGGGATCGTTTGGAAATGTAACTGTGCTCCGGTAGGTAGAGATTGCACCTGTACCCTAGATGTTGTTTAGTGGTTCCATTATTGTTTAAAGTATCACTGGGACATATATTAGTTATTCTGTTGATAAAAAAGTTTCCTAAATCTTTCTCTGTTATGTAAAGGCTTTAGGTTAAGTTAGAAACTTTCTGCCTTTGAACTTCCAATGCAGAAAGAACAAGTTACTAAACTTGAATCAATTGTAATGTAGGGCTTCACTGGCCCCTATCTTTATGCTCACAATCCTGCAGGTGCAGTTTAGGTCCATTAGACATGTAAATAGCTTACAGACTTCAGTCAGTACCTAGAGATCTAAATGATCTTAAGGGGGGTGGGTACATTTCACAAGGCATGAGGTTTAATTTGCACCTGCATTTTTGCTCCTGGAAAATGAACTGCACATGAAAATTAGAGAATTTGCACCAATATCTATGTGAGTTGCCCTAGAAACCTGGAAGAGGTACAAGTACCCAGATTTACACCTGCAATTCAATTACAGGTACAAAAATGGAAACCCAGTTTTGAAACTCTTCGCCCACAGTGTTGGTGGGTTCAGATCGTCTGTTCCTTTGGATTTTGAGATTTCACTGCATTCTTGACATTCCAGCCAAAGCTGGAAATGTTAGAAATAGACCAGTCTGGCCGAGCGCTGTTGGTCTGTTGAGATTTCAAGAAGGCAGAGACTATCAAGTGAAATAGTACAGAGCCAGTTTACAACCTTTGCTCCTTGTTGAGAGGTGCTCCTGGCATGTTTCCCCTGTAAAGCATCAGTCTGGAAATTATACTTATGTTCATCTTGTCTACTTGCTTATCAGTTCCTGTTCTTTCCCTCTAGCTCCAGACCAGTTGTCAGATTTAATGTCACTATGAGATTCACCCCGGAGGGAATATTCGTTTTCCATAACAATAGCATCATTACTGCAGAACTGTGCTTTAATATGAGCTCACCTTTAGAAGCATCCCCGCAAGGTAATGAAATATGAATAATAATGAGACCATAAGCTGCAGGCCGGGGCTGTCATGAGGATTTGGGACTGACTCTAGAGGCTGTTCTGTACCGTAGATGTATAATGTTTCAGGGCCACATTCCAATATACAATTAATGAAGAGAAATAATTTCTCTTGCTAAAAATCAAGGAGCCAAATTCGCTGCTGGCGTAAGCAGATGCAGCTCTATTGTGGCTGGGGAAGTTGCACCTGGTTATTCCAGTAGAGAATGTGGCGCTAAGTTGCTGTACTACTTGTTATCCCACCAATCCTTCGTGATTGCTTATCCCTCACATCCCGGAGGTGCAGCTGTGATAGGTGCACTTGGCAGCAGCTTGACGCCCCACACAAAGCAAGAAGTTCTTTGGGTAGTGCCCTATGGATGTGCCACTTAGGCACAGGGGCACTAGTGCACCTAGAGTGGAACGCCCATAGAGGGACAAATCTAGAAGTTCTGCACAGGGTGAGTAACCATTTCATCCCGTTGCTCAGTTTAGCACGTTTGGTAATTTGTTTCATGCATCTTTAATCCTTTAATTCCTACTTCAGCTTGTGTCTTTGAGTCTAAACCTTTAAGATTCCTGTAGCAACGTGCCTAAACCTAATAGTGCATCTATTTCCCATGGTTTGTGGGCATCACTTTTTCCCCATACAATTTAGAGCTCTGATTGCACTTTGTTCACAGACTTTAGTTTCATTGATCCCATGAAGGGTGTCTCTGAATTTAAAAAAAAATCCCAATCTGTGCTTCCAGAGACTTGGCACTTACCCATTCGCTACACTGTGGACTTGGATGTGAGGATGAAGAAGAAGAGAGCCCATTTTGAGGATCAGAAGTCCACACTGAGCCAAGAAAAGCAGGCCAATGGACCTGTGTGTGCTGAGCTGCTGCTCAACATACTGGTAAGTGATTTAGGCGCTTAGCTCTGAAGCTGGGATGGAGTCACTTCTACCACAGTGAATGATGCCACCCCTGCATTGCACATCTCTTTTGAGGAGACAATTGCAGTAGCTCTCCTGGGAGCTCTCTCCACATAATGCTCCAGAAAAAAAAACAAAAAAACCAGAACTAGGTGTGGAATCTGCCTCAGAATGAACCTATCTTGAAGCAGCAGATAGATTGTGAAGGGATGGAGGTTAATTTTTTCAGCTAAACTTGCTTTCAGGTTCTAAGCAAAACAGCCAAGGGGAAACAGCTCCTTCTTGGAGCTGTGTGTCGCACTTGTAACTCTAAGAGATGTAGGAGGTCGTGTGGTGTAGACAAAGGATGGTACATATGATTATTCCCAGCTCTGCCACTGACTCCAGTGTGATCTGGTTTGAATCAGATCAACATTTCATGCTTCAGTTTGTAAAAGAGAACTAACGACACTTACATACCTTTCTAAATTACTTGGAGATCTATGTATGAAAAGTGCTATACAAGTGCTCAGTGTTATATTTCCCCCCCACCTTCTTCCTCCATTAAGTAACTGGAAGCAGGCAGGACTCCAGCATAATTTTGCATAGGTTTCAGCTGACTGCTACAGCTTTCATGAAACACTTGATGAATAAGGGAATCTCTGAGTAACTGAACAGGAAAATTTAATTCCAAGGCTATGCCTGGAATTCTGGGATATTGGAATGTTGGTCAAGTGAAACGTCATGTCTGTTAGAAACAAGAATTTTAAGAACTGAAGCAAACAAACATTTCTGGCTTTTCGCTCCTCTGTGCTTTGTTGTCTAATGGCATTTGGAAAGTTACATGTTAGGATATAGGCCAGTTATACAAAGAGTCACTGATGTACAAACACTACTTTACATTCTAACAGCCCCATATACCTGTCATGCCTACACATTTTTCTTATTTTTGTTTTATTACAGCCGTGTGATTATGACTGTTTCTCTAGCATTACTCTCAAAGTCAGCTACCAGCTCTCTAATACCAACGAGATCATGGATCATCCAGCTCCCATGCTTGATAAATACCAGGAACCTGAGGCCTATTTTCAGGTAATAAAATACATTCCTAGAAGCAACTGGCCCTCTCGCTCCCCAATATTCAAAGCCTTCATCAAAAGAAGCCTTGGCATTGTGCTTTTCTTAGCAAGTGCATGTCTTTTCCCTACCCCTGGCTAAAGGCAATATGACCTACAGAGACTTGAAAAAGGTACTTGCAGGGGCCCAATTTTCCCCCAAAGAGTTACCCATATCCGGTATGGAGAACATCTAGTCCCTTTTCTTTTCCCAACTCAGCCACTGGCTCACTGTGTAACTTTGGACAAGTGATGTTCTTCTTCGAGTGATTGCGCATATCGATTCCAATTAGGTGTGCGCGCGCCGCGTGCATGGATGTCAGAAACTTTTTCCCTAGCAGCACCCGTCGGGTCGGCTGTGGAGGCCCCTGGAGTGGCGCCTCCATAGAGCTCTGTATATGACCCTGCCAACCCGGCGCCTCCTCAGTTCCTTCTTGCCGCCAGTGACGGTCATTGGAACTGTGGCGTCTTGTTCAGAAAGCGCTCCTTGTTTCCCGAGTTCTATTTATTTAGTGTTTGTTTTCCTTAGTTAGTTTAGCACCAAGTGCAGGTCAGTTGTAGCAGCCTTCCCTCGCAAGAGACAGGTGCAGCGATAGCCCTACCTCGACGACTGGCTGCTCAGGGGGCACACCAGGGAGCAGGTGGAATCTCAGGTCCAGTTTGTCAGATCCACTTTTGAGAAATTGGGCATCCTCCTCAATGTGAACAAGTGAACCTTATCACCAACCCAGAGAATAGAGTTCATCAGGGCAGTGCTGGACTCGGTGCAGGCAAGAGCGTTTCTGCCGCAGACGCAATTTCAAGTCATGTCAAACATCATTCAAGGCCTCAGGTGGTTTCCGAGCACTACTGTAAGGGGTTGGACATCATACACTCCATCTTCCAAAGGTGGGGGTTTCCCCAGGTCGATCTGTTCGCCACCCACAGCAACAGGAAGTGCCCAATGTTTTGCTCCTCCCAGAATCACAGCCCAGGCTCGGTCATGGACACATTTCTGCTACCCTGGGGTGGCCGCCTGTTGTATGCCTTTTCCCCATTCCCTCTCATGCACATGGTTCTTCTCAAGGTCCACAGGGGCAGAGCGGAAGTAATCCTGGTGGCCCCACCGTGGCATCAACAACACTGGTACATCACGCTCTTGGAACTGTCAGTGGACGCCCCGATTGCGTTGCCACTCCATCTCGACCTGATGACTCAGGACCATGGTCACCTGTTCCACCTGGACCTCCAGTCCCTCCATCTCACGGCTTGGAAGCTTCATGGTTAAACCCCATGGAGCTTCTGTGTTTGGAACCTGTACGGGAGGTCCTACTTGGCAGCAAGAAACCATCCACCAGGGCCGCTTATCTAGCTAAGTGGAAAAGGTTCACTTGCTGGTGTGCCCAGCATCACACACCTCCAATCCAGGTGCCTATCCCACTCACCCTAGAAAACCTCCTACACCTAAATCAACAAGGCCTGGCAGCAGCATCCATCAAGGTACACCTCTCTGCTCTCTCAGCTTTCCACCCAGGAGTATCTGGATGCTCCGTATTTGCCAACCCCATGGTGGGACGTTTTTTCAAGGGCCTGGAACGCCTCCATCCCCAGATTAGATGGCCAGTCCCTGTGCGGGACCTGAACTTGGTCCTGTCCAATCTAATGCGGCCCCTGTTTGAACCGATAGTGACTTGCTCCCTCCTCCATCTATCGTACAAAGTATCTCTTCTGGTCGCCATTACCTCAGCACGCAGGGTGTCTGAGTTGAAGGCCCTCACCTCTGACCCACCTTACATGGTCTTACACAAGGATAAGGTGCAACTTAGGCCTCACCCAGCCTTTTTTCCTAAGGTTGTGTCACATTTTCACATGAGTCAAGACTGCCCGTTTTCTTTCCTAAGCCTCATGCCAGTAGTCAAGCGCAGAGGCTACACTCATTGGGTGTTCAGCGGGCACTAGCATTCTACATCGAGCACACTAAGCCGTTCAGGAAGTTCAACCAGCTGTTCGTAGGGGTAGCAGACTGGATGAAAGGACTCTTGGTCTCATCTCAAAGAATATCTTCCTGGATCACGTCCTGCATCCGCACATGCTACGAGCTGGCCAAGGTCCCAGCCCCGGCACTTACGGCACATTCCATGAGGGTACAGGCCTTGTCAGAGGGGTTCCTGGCCCAGGTCCCAATACAAGAAATCTGCAGGGCAGCGATTCGGTCCTCAGTGCATACGTTCCCCTCTCAGTATGCCATCATCTGGCATGCCAGAGATGATGCAGCTTTCGGCAGAACGGTGCTCCAATCAGCGATTCCATAACCCTGACCCCACCGCCTAGGTAAGGCTTGGGAGTCACATAATTGGAATGGACATGAGCAATCACTCGAAGAAATAAAAACGGTTACTCACCTTCTTGTAACTTATTATTTGAGATGTGTTGCTCATATCTATTCCAGTACCCACCTGCCTTCCCCTCCTGTCGGAGTAGCCGGCAAGAAGGAACTGAGGAGGCGCCAGGTTGGCAGAGTCATATATAGAGCGCTATGGAGGTGCCACTCCAGGGGGCTCCACAGCTGACCCAACGGGCGCTGCTGAGGGAAATCTTTTTGACGACTGTGTATGCACCCACCTAATTGGAATGGATATGAGCAACACATCTCGAAGAACAACAGTTACGAGAAGGTGAGTAACTGTTCTTTCCTTCTCTGTGCCTCAGTTTACCCATTTACTAAATGGGGACAGAACCCAACTCAATTGAAAAGGTGGTGAGGAGTCATTAGTTTGTTTGTGAAGTGCTTTTGCAGATATAAAGCTCTATATTATGTAGTATTATTAAGAGCTATTCTTTGAATGAAGATTTCTGCATTAACAAAGTGGTACAATTTTCTATTTTAAAAGAGGTATTTTAAAATATCTTCTAAATTATATTTTGAAAAAAATCTAAATCAGAATTCGGGCGTTTCAGCTTCTAATTAGCTGGTTTTAGTATCATGGTCTCTCGTTTATATTTTATGAGCGGGGAAATTCTTATTAGCTAATTTAGCTCTATTTTTGAAACTAGTCAGTCTGGAATTTAAATCAGTTTCTGACAAATGCAGCAAAGCTCTACGATGAGGCAGCATTTTCCTGTTTATTAATATGGATAACTCCAGTCACAAATCAATATCTAATAACTATGCCATCTAGATGAATCGGGGCAATACTTTGCAATGAGTGCTCATTTACCATTACGTAGTAAGCAACAGAGGGTCCTGTGGCACCTTTGAGACTAACAGACCAGGGTGCCACAGGACCCTCTGTTGCTTTTTACAGATTCAGACTAACACGGCTACCCGTAGTAGTATATTACTGTTCAGTTTGATCATCTGAGTTGTGGTAGTGGTGATAGACTGATTTGCTAGCAACCAAAGCACCCATCACTAATGGTTAATTATCATTGGACTGCTATGGCAGTATCAGCTATAGATGCTAGATTTATATTGGAGGATCAAATTGCTGATTAAAAAATACTGGCCATTTCCCCTGATTTGGTTCTTCCAGAAAAATCAAATCAGTCTCATCTGTAAAACATGCAGTGTGTTTGGAACTGACTTGAACATATGAAACTTTAATTTTGAAACTTGTATGGCATTTCTAGAAATTAACTTTTCTAGTTTTTATTTTTTTTCATCTCTGTACCTTGTAAGAAAGTGATATTTGCATTTAAATAAATTGAGATAGGGAGAGAGTAAGTCAAATAATATGGTCAGACTGATTAAAAAAATAGAATAATATTTCAGCAATGAAAGGGGAATAATAAAAAAGTAACTTACACTATTCAGCCACAGAATGGTTCAGATGACTCCTAGTGGACGAATGGAAGGGTTAACAACTAGCATCTCTTTCTAATGTGCTGAGAATGCTGGATTGCGAAGGGACCCAGAAGAAATATTCAGAATGCTGACCTTGTCACCATTGAAGGCATTTCATGTTGCTGTGAATCCTCCCATTAGTCCTTTTTCTGGCAATCCCATCATAATTCAATAGCAACCTGTTAGTGAGTCACTGCTAGAGGTTTCTTCAACTCCAGCTTTGCCCCTTAGATAGGGTTATGCGAATCCCTGGTTTTGGGGAAAGCGTTCTTGTACATGTGAGTGTACGTGGTTTTTAATATGTTGCCTCCCAGAGGAAAAAAAAAGGGGGAAAAAAGTCCCATTAAAACCAGAGTTCTGACCAACTAGTCTGACTCCATCACAGTGACTCCCACTCCTCTCTCTAATTTCAGCTGCCTTACAAGAAGGATTGTAATAACAAAGCCATCTGTGCTGCGAACCTAACCTTGAGAAGTCAGACTCAGTGAGTTGAAATGGTTTTATTATACAGATTTCGTTCTTGGTATTGCTATAAAATGACATATGGACTTTGTTAAAATAATTTGTTTTTTGTCTCCCTTTGTTACATTAACATTGATAAAGTATAACCCATCTGTTTTATGTCTCATGCCTGCTTATAGGAAGAAATTAGTGGTGGGGGACACCAAGGAGCTGACCATGGACATTTCTCTAGTTAACAGCGGAGATGACTCCTACATGACAACCCTGGTCTTGAAATACCCTAGAAATCTACAGTTTAAAAAGATGATCCCAGAGGTGAGATCATGAAGTGGCTGTCTGGTTCAAAACCAGGATGGTAAGGAACAGCCAGGGTCAGAATCCATTGTTATTCACTCACTGCCCAGGAAAATTCTCTTGAAATAAATGCTTATTTTCCAAGGATGTCTCTTTGGCCAGTGGTAAGATGTAAAGCTCATCTATAGGTGCTTTAGTAATAAATCAATGATCAATAAGACACATCATGCACAGAAAAATAGGTAAGGCTCTCTTGTATACTTTTATCAGGAGTTATGCATGAGTAAACTTCTTTCAGAAGCACTGTGGCCTAATGGACTAAAGACAGGACTGGGAGTCAGGAACTTCTGAGTTATAATCCCGACTGCCTCTGACTTGCTGGGACTTTGAACAACTCATGTAACATCCCGTCTCACTTTTCCTAGTGAGGCTATTTAACTACTGATAAATGTTGTGAGAATTTTTTTCTTTTATGGGCTGTACAGAACCTTTTAGTGATTTGAGATCCAGATAGTTCTTCGAGTGTTGGTCCCTACATGTATTCCATATGTGGGTATGCATGCACACCGTGTGCCTGACTGAGATAACATTTCTAGCAAGTCGGGTCCGTTGGTTCATGCCTCCAGTTGTTTTCCTTGTGCTCTGAACTGAGAGTTTACAGGGTGGTAGGGACCAATGCTGCTCTAGTTCCTTCTTAGTGCTGCATGGCCTGAGTTGGAATCCTGTGTCCGAAGCTACTTCCGTGTTTATTCTTCAAAACCTGTGTATATACTGTAAATATTTTTGTATTATTCTTAGTAGTGTTCATTTGTCTAGTTAGTGTAAATTAGTCCTACCCGAGTCCCTGACTTGGGGAGCTTTTCCCAGTGAACAAGGACTATGGCCAGAGACCAGCGATTTAAGAGGGATCTTCTGCCCTGGTTCCTTCTCTGTGAGCAATAAACACCAGTGTTGCCTATACTGCCTTGGGGAGGCTCACATCTCTGCTAAGTGCAACATTTGTCGCTCCTTCCCTCTCAAGAGCTCTGACTAAAGAAACATCTCATGGAGAAAACCTTGAGACCCAGACCTGGGCCAAGGCGACCAACTTGTACAATGGCCTCAGTGAGTGAGCAGCGCCCCTCTGAGCCTGAGCACAGGAGCTGAGGCCAGAGCTGCTAAGAATTGATAGGCTTCTCATTAGGAGCAAGGAGCACTCTCAAACGCAAGGAAAAATCTGCTCCTAAACTAAAAGATCCCTCCCCCATTCTGTCCAAGTCTGGCGAGTCCTCGTGCACAACTCCAAAGGACTTAAGTCTGCTCAGACCTCTTGGGCATGAAGGTCTGGCGCAAAAGAGTAGGGATACGTTGGTACTAATTTGGGTTCTGATGCACTAACCAAAGGATCAGCACTGTCTGGGAGCTACAGACTTAGACTCTGCTCTGGTGCTGGCCTGCCCCTGCAAGGAACCGCTGTCCACCATAACTAGGGATGCGCCGGATCTGTCGGTCCCAGCCATTGGAACCTCCTGCACTCCAAGACAGACCTCTGGAAGGAGATGGAAATATTCCCTATTTCCATCAGCCGAAGCATTCGTCCACCAGTACTGATGACTTGCCGATTTGAACTGGAGCCTACCTCCTCGTCTGCTGAGCTGGAGGCTCCAGAAGGTCTTAGATCTGTTCTCCACCCAGATATGATTATCCAGGGGACCAGTGGTACCCAATGCCATGGGATCCCCCTCAACCGGTTGAGACTTCCTACTGGCATCATTGGAGTCCATGGGATCCCTATGCTAGACACTCCAGATCTCTGCATGAATCCCACCTACCCTCTCTTTGCTGACACCAACCAGCTTCTTCAGGGTACAAGAGAGAAAAAATTGATCCAAATCTGCTGGGACTAGTGGTGCGGACAGGTGAATCCTTCCCGATGCTAGATGAGGGGGTTATTCAGTCTTCGCCATCCTTGCCTGAGGTCTACAGGCAGTATCAAGAGCTCTTGCAGTGGGTGGCAACTGAGCTCCAGATCCAACCCAAGGAGGTACAGGGTACTCAGCATAGATTCCTGGACCTCCTGCCGTTTTCTGGTCCCAGTCAAGTGGCCCTTCCTGTTAACAGATTAAATTAAGGTTTGGGGTATACGGGAAGGTTATTTCTGAGTTCAGGAACACTGAAAGCAAATACTAACTTCCTAGTTTCAGAATTACTGAGAACAGATCGTGGGCTAGTATAAGCTTTGGATTTATTTAGTATGTTAAGGCCATAATTACAGCATGATGAAAAAATTTAAATGAAATTCAAACACTGCCTTCATGTTGCATGAGTCAGCCAGCCGTATCAGGGTGTATTCAGCAATGGAATACATAAAATGGAACAGCTGAAAAGGGAGCAGTGTTGTAATGCATTAAACTACAGCAGCACAAAGGGCTTCCTATTGCTAAAATATAGCCAGAACTCAAGAGTCTGGGTCAGTTAGTTTCCCCATTTTTCAAGTTAAAACTGATGAGACTTTTGAATTACTTTATCAATTTTTATAAGGGTTAGAGTTAGTGGAGGTCTTGAAGGACTGGACTGTCTTCAGGGCACGGCTATAATCTGTATGTTGGGTTCGTTGCAGTGTTTTTCTTTTGCAATATATGGAGACCATAGAGTAACTTGAACTTTTTTTAAAACCAGTCAAATGTGGGTATTTGTTATTTATCTCCACCACACTAATCCAACATGTTTAATGTAAATAAAGTGTTCTGGCAGCTTGAATCAATTTTGCCTGCCTATAAAAGGCGGTTTTTTTACGAGACTCATAGCCTGTATTGAAAATACCTGCTCTAAATGCCTAAAACGAGGCCTGAAAAGAAACCATAAACGGAACACCTCAGTGATGTTATCAGTGCCTAAATGGAGAACTCATGTGATCTCCAGAACACCTAACTCTTGATGTTACGTGTGGGAGTGCACAACAGAACGAGTTGAATCTTCCAGTCTGTTTTGCTTCTATATTAAAAAGCATTCCTACTATTTTGACAGCCATCCTCTACTGTGATTCATTGTGATCAGCCAAAACCATCTGCACATTTACTCTCGTCCATGGGCTGCAAGATTGGACACCCGATATTCAAAAACACAATGGTAAGTCAAATGTCATTGTTTCCAGCTCTGTTCTCAGTGTTTGTTCTATTTTCAACAGCTGCTCTTGCACCATTATCTTTGTAACTAGGCCATAGCCTCAACTAACTCTCATGTATGGAGGTCAGCACTCTAGCTGACTGGGATATTTTGAGGATCACCCAGGCCAGTAACGCGTTCTGTCACTGCGTGTCCTGTAACCTTGGGGTGCCTTAATGCTGTGCTGCTATGGCTCAGATCCCTTACACCAGTAGCCTGCCCACATGCACCAGGTCTCACTCTGGCTTTCAGCCGTTTAGTTACTCCTGACACCAACAGCCCTTCCTGTCCTGAGTCTCCCTAAATTTCTGAGTTCTTCTTCGAGTGCTTGCTCATATCCATTCCATTAG